CATAATTTTAGATTTATTTAAATTTATATTTAAATTAAACGCCCTACAATATATTTCCAAATTATATATCATATCTTGAAGTACTATAGGGCTTGTGGTCATAATTACGATATCATCTGCATATACAAGCATTTTATTTCTTTTGTTATTAATAGATAATCCACCCCCTCCCCTCCCCAAATAATTCATCAAATCATTGATATAGCAAGAAAACAAAAATGGACTCATTATACATCCCTGTTTTAGTCCTCTCTCGGTTTTAAGACTGTATGTTTATTCATTACAATGTGTTCTTTTTTATTTATTTATTTTTAGGTTATTTTATTCTTATTTATTGTTTATATTATTTTTCTGTATAATTTGTTTTATTTATTATACATAGATTGTGAATGTGATCTCTTAACAATATTATAAATGTCCTTTGAAACAGATTGTAGTATTTTTTCATTAAATAAGTTCATCACCTATCCATACTGAGCCTTCAGTATCATCATACAATGCTTTAATTAAATTTATAATCTTTGAGGAAACTCGTAGCTCATATAGTTTATGAAAAAGTGCGTTTCTGTCCACATTGTCAAATGCTGTTGATAAATCTAAGAAGAATGTATATATATTCCTTTTAATATTTAAATTCAAAGTTAAGATATTAGTGAGATTAAATATATTATCAATGGTTGAATAATTTTTACGTAAACCTGTCTGGCATTCACTTATATTATATTAAATTCATTTGCCCAATTTATTAATCTTAGGTTTATCAGCTCTGTAAAAAAATACGCAATCGAGTTGTTGAATGATATGCCCCTATAATTTGTAAAGATTAAAAATGAAAGCATGGATACAAATTATGAAATATATTACGTCAATGGGATATAGTTCAATTTTTTTTCCTATATCATTGATAAAGTCTTTTCATTCATATCAGGAGGTGTTAAATCAAATGGATGATAAAATGATAGTGAGTATTCATGGATACCATTTTAATTTTATTTTAAATGAAATTCAAGACCATCCAGTCTTAATCCAAGAAGTACCAAATTTCTGTCGAATCGTTGCCGGTGCTGTATATACATGAATTTTTAGACTGAACTTCTTAAAAAAAAAAAAAAAAAAAAAAAACCTCATAATAACCCTCTCCTTGTGTTTAGGAATTTAACACTTTACCGACTTAAATAATTCGTTAAAATCGAGTTTAGACACACATTTCTTAAATAGATTCCTCGACTTTAACACATTTAAGTGGTTTTAAAATAGTTATCACTGATTATATGAATATCCATATAATATTTTTTACTAATATACATACCAGGTTATTAAGGAACTAGGCTGATGCTGTAAAACACTTTATTTTGATTTCATATACAGGGTGTCCCGAAAGTAGAGAGAAATTTCGTGAGGAGTGGCAACAGACTTCAAGACTAGTGTTGCCCAAAATCGGTTTTGGTCTTGCACTTTGCAAAACCAAGACCAAGGCCGCCTAACTGTTGCAAGACCAAGACCATAGCTGGTGAAAAAAAAATCGATTTTTTGAATAAAAATTAAGGCAAAATAGCTAATAATACTTTACAATCTTAGTTAGTATCTTGTATATTATTTCTCAAATATATATCCCTTTTCCGGCTCTCAGGAGTGATGGATTTTGACGAATGAGGTGTAAATAGAAAGAGAATATCAAGTAGAGTGAGCGAATCGTAATAAACCATTGTCGTAATGCATATAAGTATCTGAAAGCTTACTAAATTCCCTACAAAATGAAAAGAAAAATCATCGAAATCCGACTATGTGGTGCAAAGATATAACGTTCTAAACATTTAGTATTAAATCTCCCTCCGAGGCGTCTGAAAAGAAGATGGCCCCGTGATCTCCTAATGTAGCCATATCATTAGAGTGCTACCATTGGGTAGTTACTCAGCAAGTGTATTCATGTCATTATATCAATTATGTCCTAATTTACTTGATGTATTTATGTAATACAGTTGTAAATGTCATAAAGAAATAAAAATAAATAAAAAAAGTATTAAATCTACTTTAAAGATTTTTTGCTTTATTTCAGTTTTGAATTACTCAAAAACTTTAAAGTTATTTAAGTAATAATTGTTTTTATCAACTATATTTTAGTGAACTTTAATGCTTTCATTGAATCTTTAAAATTTGTCAAGGTTATATATTAATAATAAAATTTATAATATCGAGGAAAATCCTTTTTTTTACCCTTATATACATATTCCATGCTTGGATCATTTAAATGAATTAAACCATGGAATAAATGTATAAGGATAAAATAAAGCTTTTTCCTCGATATTATAAATTTTATGAGTAAAATTTTTTATTTAACAGAAAATTATATAAAATATTCCTATGTAGATCAATATTGGTATATACTTTTAATAATGCATTAATCTTTTCCTGGCTATTAGTTAGGTATTGGTCATCAAACACTATCGCTTTACTTAATTTCTATTTTTCAATACACTGAAAACTTAAACTATTATAAATTTGAAAAGAATAAAACTACAAAAGAATTAATTTTTTTTTTTAACAATCTCATCTAACATAACGATGAGAATGGCGGTCGCTGGGTTGCCTCGGAATGTTCCTCGGTTGTTCGTCGCTGTCGCTGATGCTGTGGCTCTCGTTACTCTCAACTGAGTTGCTCTCGGAGGTGTGGTGGTTAGCCAGCGAGCGGCTCACGAGGATCATTGCGCAGAATAGGACAGCCCACTGAAATTATTTATAATTTATCATAATTTTTTATTATTTTTTTTTTATTATTTTTTAATGATATTTACAACTGTATTAAGTAAATACATCTAGCAAATTTGAATTTGAACATATGGATATAATGACATGAAAACACTTGCTGAGTAACTACTCAATAGTAGCACTCTAATGATATGTCTTCATTAGGAGATCATAGGGCCATTTTCTTTTTATTTAAGGGTTATTAGGAATTGAAGAGGAAGCAAGGTTAGAAACGAGAGGGTTGGGACGATTCTGAAATTTATTATGGAAGGATAGGTATCTGGATTGAGGCAGATCTGAAACATAAGGAACATTAAGGTCATTGTGGATGGTTTTATTTGTAACAAAGTAGGAAGCATTGAGGATTTTACTAAGGATTTTGGATTGTAAGGATTGGATACGAGAGGAATTCGATGGTTTAGTGGAGCCCCAGAGCTCAACTCCGTAAGTCCAAAATAGGCCTTATTATAGTCATGTATATGAGTCTTTTGTAATTAATTGGAAGTTTAGAGCGTTTTATAGTAAGTGCTATAGTAATCGGAAACGTCGAGCGGTTTCTTGTCGTTTCAGTCTGGTATGAGGATTCCAAGTTAGTCGTTTGTCCAGGTGGAGTTCTAGATAGCGGATTTGCTCAACAGGGATAAGTGGAGTATTGTTAAAGTAAACTGGAGGACAGGAAGTTATTGGTTTTGGGTGAAGGGTAATTTGGTGGGATTTATTGGAGTTTATTTTAATTTTCCACACACCAGTTTTGACACCATTCTTCAAGATTTATGATGTGTGATTGAAGCATTTGGGATGTAATTGATGGGTCATTATTTACTTACAGGATACATGTGTCATTGGCATATGTGGTGATGACATTGTTGGGAAAGGTAGGGATGGCAGCTGCATAAACTGTATAGAGGATAGGACCTAGGATACTACCTTGGGGAACACCAGCGAACTGGGAAAAAAGGGATGAATAGGCGTTTTTGTGATTTACTTTAAAATATCTATCACTAAGGAAGGAACGGATAATGAGGAATTATGTAGGTGGTAGGAATTTACGGAGCTTGTACAGCAGTCCCGGATGACTCTATCAAACGCCTGTTCAACGTCGAGAATGACTCCCGTGCAGTACATTCCGTGAAAATTATTATAATTAAAATTAAAATCTTATTTTATACATTTATACATTCCACAGCCACCATATCACCTAATTAACAACTGTGTATCTGTATTAACCACTAAGGGTCTTTGTACTTTGTATTAGATTATTTATTATCCTTTCAGTGTGGGTATGTAAATTTTTATTGGTAATCATATTTTATTATTTTTTTATTTACAGCTTCAAGCAATTGCTCCGTTAAAAGTCTACTTCAAAAATTTTATAATTACCCAACATCGCCAGAAAATAATTTCTATTCAAAGTAGAGAGGCAAGTGAAAGTTGTGCGCACCAGATTTTTTTCTCTTATGAAAACCTGCAACATAGCTCGAAACGTAAGCTATACAATAACCACTACACCAACATATTATAGGTGTGACCGTACACCCAGACTAACTTCTGAAATTTATTAACTTTTAGTACTGTCGTAAAAGTCTGTCAGGAGAGTTACGACTGTAGTTTGATTGTTAGGTCTAGTGTAGCCTAAATGCGAGACCGAGACGACTCTCGGTCTTGCAAACTCAGTCTTGGTCATGGTCTTGGTCTTGCGCAAGAGTTTCGTAGCAGTCTTGAAATACTTATTAGCTTATTACTATAGAGATATTACTGATCTTTTTTAGATAGGAGAAACCTAACTAAGCCCGAATTAAAAATTAGAGATGTCAATTGCAAAAGTATATTGTTTATACCAATTACTAACATATAGTAACTAAGATTGTCAAGTATTAGTAACTATTTTGCCTTAATTTTTATTTTGTGTAAAATAATCGATTTTTTTTTACCATTCCTGGTCTTGGTCTTGGTCTTGATCTTGTGAAGTGCACAAGATCAAGACCAAGATCAAGACACAACTTAGGTCTTTTAGTATAAAATCTCGAGGTTATCAACAACTCTATTTAGTTTTTCTTTGTCTCAGAGTTTTGCAAACATAAATTAATAAAAATTAAAGTTTAAAATGAAAAATTAATTAAACTAATAATATTCTATTTTATATCTAGATTGTTTTCAGACATTGCATTGCCAGTTTCTTTCGTAACTTCGTCATTACACGACGTCTGAATTCTTATCTAGTTAGATTTCAAACGATCAAAGAGCATTCTTGCAGGATGTGGCTGTCTGCGTGCGTATTATTGCAGCGTATTAATGCGTAAGTAGTTATTTTTTTATGTGATAAGAATGATTCAGAATGGTAAGGCCTATTCTCAGTTTGACTACTTCCTATCTTCTGTAAGGATGATTTTAATCTGTACCATAGTTTCACGGTTTTTTTTTTTTTTTTGTTTTAAAATTTAATTTACCAACTTGACTATAGTTCCACATGCATTTCCAACTATATAATATTTCTTTTTCGATATTCAAACCAATATAAAATGTTGTGTTTAATAACATTTGTAGTGGGATGTCCAGTAGAGTGGAAATAAAAACAATTTTTTAGTGGATTACTTTTTAATAGGATTCAAAGTTGGCTTTCTATGTTTTATTTAAATTTATTTCTTCTATATTTATCTTAAGGTTTAGCAAGAGGTTTAAAAAAAAGTTTTTTTTTACCTAAATTTTTCTCTACTTTAATTTTACATTTATTTGATGAAATATTGTGTTTAATAACTATCAATAAATCTTTTTTTATTATAACCACAATGACAATAAGTTTTAATGCTCTAAGTTTATAAATTGTTTTTTCGAAATTAGTAAATAAATGAGCTTTTACCACATAACTGAAATGTTAATTCTTAGTTGCATTGATGTAATATAATTAGTTGTTCGAATTTTCTTTAATACAGTTCTTAAAACTATAACATTTATTACTACTTAAACCCGCTAAACAATAATAATAAACCACCAATTGTTTCAGGTAAGACAATTTTAAACTAATTGAACATAAAATATTTAAATTCTCACTTTGTTTTAAAGACTGATACTTAATTATGAAATTAATTCTATATATTTCATCATAATAAATTAGTAAATCTGTGTGACGAAATTTTATTTTTAATCCCTTTCTAAATTTAAATCAAAATCTCCAAAACAAATGGTAAATTCATTATTATTATTATTACCCAGCTGTTATAATTAATTTTAGATATTATTATCATTATATAAATAAGCAAACACAAATCGGTTCAGCCCCTTTTACTCCTCTATTATTCAACTGATTTTCTTCCTTCTTTTTTTGTTTAATAGATATTGACGAGCTTTAGTGTTATCAATAAATAAAAATATTAAATAGTATGTGAATAAAAATAAAAATGGTTGTTTGTTCAAAACGGCTAATCTCCGAAAGTTTTTCACGGATTTCTTTTAAATTTTGGCGCAACGTCGCAATAGTATTTAGAAGTTTTTTGAATACGTTTTATTATCATCGGACCTTTTCTTTCGAAATGGTGGCCGAAAACGAGATTCGCTTAAGACTGTAGCGCTTTTTCTTATTTTTTAGGTTATTTTATTTTATTGTCTATTGTATATACTTTTGATTATTATTTTGTTCTATTTATTTTATTTTTTTGTACATATGGTGTGAATGTCATCCTACCTCACTATAACCAATGTCCAACAGACAGATTGTTATAATACTCAATAAAGAAATTTAAAAAAAAAAAAAAAAAAAGACTGTAGCGCCAATAGAAAATGAAAAAAAAAATCATGGAAATCGGACTATTTGTTGCAGAGATACATCATTTTAAACATTTAGTACTTTCTCTTTGCCTTCCAAATTCGATTTCGTTTATTTCGCTTTTTGATAAATCGAAAACTTTTCATTTACTGAGGTAGTTGGGTCTATTATTTGAAGTGATGATATCATGTAATGTTAGTGGAATGATACCTAATAAATTAAATTTAAAAATATATTCTATAATTATACTCATTGTTAACTTAAATACTGCACAAGCATAAGTTAATGGAACAGGAATGAGAGTGAAGTATTAACGGGGGCTACTTTAAATTAAAGAATTTTAATTCCAAGAATTAATTTAACATTTTCTGATACTATACTTATATTCGACTTTCAAAGAACAACGTTCCTATTAATAGCTTCATTTGCCATGATCATCATCAAATCGCAGGATAAAAGTTTTGAAAAAATGTGTATATTATTGTGACGTTCAGTAATTTCGTATGGACAATTATATGTGGCATCAATTAGAGCACGTTCATTTAAAATATTGAAATTTATATTTTCATTGACAATGGGCATGGCTATGCACTAAACAATAACAGAACATTCAAAAAGAACATTATTTACATAGAAGTTGTGAATAAAAATGGATTTAAAGTGAATTTAAATTTATTTTTTACTTACTTAATCATATCATTAAATTATTGTGATAATAACACACATAAATTGAAATGAAAATTCAATAATTTTAAATGACTTAAGCTCGATTTTTAATTGAAATTGAAATTTTGTTTGTATTAATAAATGAGGATTTTTGAATTGTGATTTACTCTTTATTTATTTACTTTATCTTTTATTTAATCATATCTTTTCATCAAATTTTTAATGGCTATGGTCGAATTTCGACCACTGGGCGAACACTAGTAATAATAACTATGTTTGAACAACCATCCAAAAATAAAAAAAATAAAATCTGGTGCGCACAACACACAACTTTCACTTCCGCTCTACTTCAATATACATTATTTTCTGGCAATGTTGGGCCATTATAACAATTTTTGAAGTGCATTTTTAACCGAGCTAAAGGATAAAGATTACAACTAACAAATCATTAATACAATTATAATAACAAAAACCCTATTAATTATATCTACGGTAGACAATAAAAACCTCGATACTTCGTTTGTTTTTGTAAACCACATAACTCCAATCTCTGAGCTATATATATCTACGTATATGCCGAACACTTAAAAAAAAAAAGGCTTAAACGTTTACATTTAATAAGATAATTCCATTTAATTTCATTGAAAAAAATGTGATTTACGTTAAATAATGTTTTTAAAATTTTTATTTATATTTTATTCATCATCCTTTACTACCTCTAAAAATTTATTTATTAGATATTATTTTTACTAAAAATCTCCGCTATCCAACGATGAATGATACGTATACCATCTGATTATTATTTCCGAAGATTCATTTCCGAGTTAAATAAGTATTTTTCCTGTTTTCTCTTTTATTCAATTATCAAATTCTTTCAAAATTTATATTCAGATCATTTTTCATTATTTATATAAATCAATGTATAGTTAGTTATTTAAAATAAACCAAATTAAAGGTACTTTAGAGGAAGATCTGTTGAACATTGGGCATTTAAGCCCTCTAAAGTGACATCAACGGGGATAACATCTATTGATATTAAGGATCACTTAATTATACATTCATACACCGAGTTTAATCAATATCGTTAAAGCAGTTTTTGAGATAATATTTTTTTAAAATTTAATCGAATATATAAAGTGCCACTTATGGTTAGCCGATTTTGATAATAAAATTGTTGTAACATCTCAGGCATATACAAACCTTAAATGTGCAATTTCACTTTTCGTTTTTTTATGACTTTTCGTTTTTGGGCTAGACTGATAACATACACACGGACACACAAACCATTTTGCGGGACTTGGTTATTAGGACTCAAGAGTTATTTTTGCTGACGTTTCGCCCCAAGATTCAGGCCTTTTAAATATCAGGGCAAAGGAAAGATAAGATATCAATACATTTGGAAAACTGGTACCCTGTAGAAACATGATAATATTTAGAACAAAGTAAGGGTATATAACATAACAGTAAAAAAGGTTAGGAACTATGAAATAAAAAATAATATTTATAATACTATAAAATAAGGCTGTGTTTTATTATTTCTTTAACATATTTATTTCAGTCTACATCAGCCATGTTTCGGCTAGTAAGCCATTTTCAAACAATCACTAGATAGAATGAGGTTGTTTTTTATTTAAAATCAGATATTCTGACGTAAGTTATAATAATAACCCACCTGGATACGATAATCACCTGGATACGACCTCCTTACCTCTCAGATCCTTAGACAACTCCCTCCTAAAGCTGTCATATTCCTTACATACATATACAATAGCATCCTACGAACCACCCACTTTCCTCTTTTGTGGAAACATTCCCCTATTATCCTGTTTCCGAAACCAGACAAACCTCCCAACACCTCAACGTCCTACAGACCAATTAGCCTTCTTCCGATTCTCTCAAAAATCTTTGAAAAGATCCTCCTGAAACGCATCCTACCCTTTATAGAATCCCAAACTCTTCCTTCCCATCAGTTCGGATTTCGTTCACAACACTCTACAGTCCAACAAGGACTCCGAGTGGTTGATCATATTTCCGCAGCATTGGAAAGCAAGCAATATTGCTCGGGTGCATTTCTGGACATAGCTCAAGCTTTCGACCGGGTATGGCACGCCGGGCTTCTTTCCAAGCTGAAAAACTATCTTCCTCAGTCCTTGCACCTTGTTCTCCGTTCCTACCTCTCAGATCGTACCTTCCGAGTTCGTTGCGGTACTAAATTTTCGCATTGTTATCCAATTGAGGCAGGTGTTCCTCAAGGTAGCGTATTGGGTCCCGTCCTTTACATCCTCTTTACCGCCGATATCCCTGTCCATCCCGATACCTTCCTGGCAACTTTTGCTGATGACACCGCCATTCTATCATCCGACTCAGATCCCAACATAGCATCCTTAAATCTCCAAAACCACCTCACCTTGATTGAGCACTGGTGTAATAACTGGCTCATTAAAGTTAATGAATCTAAATGCCAACATATTACCTTTACACTCCGACGCAGTTCCTGTCCACCAGTACACTTTAATTCCATCCAGCTTCCTTACTCAGACACAGTCCGGTATCTTGGCTTTCATTTAGACCGAAGACTAACGTGGAACCCACATACTAGACTCAAAAGACAAGAACTCAACCGACGATACGGCCAGCTATACAGACTACTAAACAGAAAATCCAAACTTTCTATTGAAAACAAATTACTTATCTACAAGCAATACTGAAACCTATATGGACATACGGACTTGAACTGTGGGGGACAGCAAAAGCTTCTAACATCAAACGTATTCAATCCTTTCAATCTAAAGTCCTTCGAACAATAGTTGATTCTCCGTTCTATGTAAATAACAAAATCCTACACCATGACCTTAATATCCCATTTGTCC